GTATATATATATATAGTCAATGCATTCTAGAGGTTCAAATGAGTAAGTAGACCATCAACCCTTCCAACAATAAAATAAAATAATCCAAATAGAAATTTTTATAAAGTGTTATACATAATAAAATACAATGAGAAAAATAAATATGAAATGATTTGTTGGGGTCATGGCCCAAAATGAACCAATGTGATTGATGAACAACACAAACTCGATTTGATTAATACTCGATCATATTTGTTCAAATTAGCAAATAAACAAGTTTGAATGTTTTTTTTACTCAAAGGTTAAATGAATTAAATTGGAACATAGTCAAACTTATTTATTAATGTTCACAATAAACATGTTTGTGGTTCGATAAGAACTTGTTAAATGCATAATACTTATGTATTACATTACTTTAAAAAAAATGATTCACTAGAATTTATTGAACTTTACATTTAATAGTAACATATTATAATCATATATTAATACATACATATAAATTTAAAGCACCTTTTTATTTTTTATTTCGATGAATTAATTTATTAGTGCTTATTAAATAATATTAGTTATAAAAAAAATTACTTACAACTTATATATTATTTTATTTTTTTGATATAAGCTAGTTAGATGCTAATTTAAAATTTATTCAATTGCTTATTTATTTATATCTACAAAAGTGTGCATTATTAAATTTATATAATAAAGCAAGCACTCATTCATTTTTTTAGCTTATTTACTATTTTTATATAAAAATCAAGTACAAATAAAAATTGTAAATTTATATGAAAAATTAAGTACTCATTCAAAATTTTAATTTCTTTAATTAGTATAAACAAGTTAAGTACAAATCAAATTTAAAAACTAAAAAATATAAGAAGGTCAAGTATAAACATATATGTGAAAACTCGGCTCAAACTCGAATTGAATATGAATAACTCATGATTTGACCACACTAAGTTTAGTCCATGACATATTTGAGTTAATGGGCTTGACTACAACCCTAGTTGAGGCTTGATTTGAAGTGTCTTTCAACTAGCATAGAGTTGCCCAAAGAAGAGAATAATTATAGCCTTTGACTGGAAGTGGAAGGGTAATAACCTTTGAATTTCTAGGTTATTCCTAAGAAAATTAAAAAATGCAACATTGTTTTGCTATGAATTAGAGAATCAACTTGAGATGATGTATACTACCATCATCCACAAAAGATTTGACTTCGATAAAAATACAACAGTACTTCCACAAAATCTACAAGAAATGAGTGGGGATTCCAACTTTAAGTGATAGTGATAATATGATTAGTTGAGATACAGACGTTCTTAATGAATAAATAGATAATTAAAATAGTGCCAAGTGGGCTACAAGTTTGCTGGCTTACAACATGGTGAATGATAACAAGAAAATAGATCATTTAAAGAAATTATTAATTGAAACTAATGTGGTAATTGGATCTTAACTGACATGCCATATATGTGTCATCATGAATATGTGTGCAATCTTGAAGGGATGTCATATCAAATATGATATTGATAACAAATTAAATTAAAGAGGTTGAGTAGAATGACTGCTAGTAGTGGTTACGATATATCTACTTCAATAGAAAGATAAAATATGTGCTTTTAATAGCTTAACTAACAAGAAGTACTTTTTTTTGTTCCTAAAAGAAACAATTTTAACTTTAGATTTGAAGTTTCATAAAAAAATTTTAATTAAGTAACTCTCGATGCATTCTTATAAGAGATCTTTCAAATTCAAATTCAAGATCATCTAAGTTCTGATTCCAACAAGTTTAATTGTCCTGACAAGATTAACCCAATGATTTCAAAAGTGATTCAATCTGGGTCAAGTCAATCCAAGATCAGGCAATTAAAGAAAAATTAGAGGCTTTTGATCATCAATTGAGTGGTCAAATGAAGTCAAATTTTGACATATTTATAATCAAGTCGAGTGTCTTAAAGAGAAGAATCCAACAATCCTAAGGTTGCATAATTTTGAGGTTATTAAAGCACCCAAATTCTAAAAAATCAACTCTAATTAATGGGAATAACATGGACCATCCAACTAGGTTGTTAGAAAAGTTACATACCAAAATACCAAAATGTCCCTCCCAAAAGACAATAAATAGGCTTCATCTATTCACTTAAGAGAAGAGAAGAAGAGAATAAGAATTGAAATTCCTTAGCCTATTCTAGAGAGAATGCCCAGTAAGTAACCACCAACCTCTATAGTTGATAGCCATCACTGAACACCAGCCTTTCTATAATCATTAGCCGCCGTCACTACCTATCATCTCTGACCATCAGTCATTACCGATCATTGTTTGCAAACATTATAGCCAGATTATGGCTATTATTGAATTTTTAACACTTTTATTTTTTGAGATAAAAAAAAATAAGTATAATTTTTATTGTAAGATTATAACCTCATTCTTCTTATTGTGAGAGAAGAGTGTATCGCTGCATAAACAAATATATAGTGGATTATTGTGACTGGAGCTCTCTAATATTTTTGCTTCTAAATTATTTCCACATAAAAAATATCGGTGCTTCCTACTTATACTTTTCCTTTATATGTGTAGGTGTTGAATCTTTGTGCAACACTAAGATGTCAAATTATCACTCTATAGTTGTGAATTTTTTGAGATGCAACAGCTTGACGCCATTTGTAGAAAACAAAATTCCACCTTTAGAAAATTGCAAACACATTTTCAATGGCTAGAAAGAGAAATACTCGAACCTTTCACTCAAAAAAATAACTTTTCTAAGAGATAATCTAGCCTCTACAAATTCCACTCTAATGGGCATCACCCTATTAGTGAAGATGCCTTTTATTTGTCCCCAGTTGTCCACTTGCTGAGAATGGAGGAATCTAAAAAATGAGATTTTACAATTTCTATGTTAAGTTTGACAACCAATATTGATACAAATGAGTGAGGTTCATCTACCACAATATCAATCACAAATCAGGGACTCTCAAATAGAGAATGCTCCACAAGCAACCCCTCCTCATGCAAGAGTTCTTCCTTATTTGGGTTTGGAAGCCGAGCTCCTAGATATTTCTAGCTTTACACATCCATCTCGTGCAACCAGACAAATTTTTCAAACCTCCAACACTCTAATAAAACTTTGTCTAACCTCATCATGTAATTCATGATGTGTTATGATGTATGGTTCAAACAAAACTCTCTTTCAGATACAAAAGCTAATTTCTTATTCAATATTGTTGCCAAGTGTATTCGTATGATGTAGTCCACCAATACCCCATCCCAATAGGATTCATGCTTCCAAGCATTGAATCTTATGATGATACGCCTGGCCCATATCAACATGTTGATCATTATAGAATTATCAAGCATGTATAATGAGCTGCTAATGCACTCCTTATAAATTTGTTCATACATTCTCAAAGGTTACTTAGTTTTATTCACACCCAGAAAGTACTATTCCTAGCTTCAATAATTTTGTTAGACTATTTATGAAGCAATTTTTAACAAATTAAAGGATTATTAAAGACTCTTCTCATCATTATGGAATTTATCAAAAAAGAAGGAGAGCCACTTAAAGTATATTTTCAAAGATTCTCTTTTGAAGCTTGTCGAATTCCAAAGTAGATCTGGAGCTATTAATGGAATCTTCTAATGAGTGTTACATCCTGGGCTTTTCTTCTCAAAATTAATGTGAGAGACAATTTACTCTACTGTTCTCATCCACGGTGTTGAGGCTCAAATCACTACTCATGAAATTATTAATAGATATCAAATATAATTTGGACATTATCCTAGAAAAGCCAAATGCATTCTTGGAGAAATTACACAAACATCCAAGCAAAGGAAGCATGCAAAGTTAACAAATGAAAAAAAAAACTGTCCATTTGAATTAATATTAGACATCCAATTAAGCTCCACTGAAAACATCCAAAATTAATATTTTAGTCGAGATTCAAAATTTAAAATACTTTAAATATCCAAAGCCACTAAAAATCCAAACAGTGGAGACTAATCCTAATATTGTCAGTTTCAACATTTAGAAGGGCATTCAACAGAAAGATGTTGTCACATAAAAGAAGAACTTGAATATTCAATACATCAAGATCACTTAGGACGCTATTTATAAGAACAATGCAACAAGTTATGGAAATAACATTGTTGGAATTGTTGAATGAGTACAAACAACTACATCTTATTTCATTTTTGTGAAAGACTATCTACTCTCATATGCTGAAAGATCTTATCTTGAAAGTTTCTAATTTTATTTGTTAGAGGAATTTTTTTTGTTATTAGACCAAAAACTACTGTTCAAGTAATATTTTTATCATCAACATTTTTTTTTCAAATTATTTTATTTATAAAAAGCCCCCTCGAGGGTAAGTGACCCAAAATACACACTCATGATGTAGTATCAATGGGAAGCTCGTGGCATATAAGGTCTTAACTAAAAAGACTCCATGAGAACAAGTGGTTGACATAATCTTAATTTAATATTATTGTTTTAACTTTCACCTTCCAACGACACAGGGCTTTTGGATGCTGTGCAGATTAAAAGATTTGGTTTTTTTCTTATAATCAAGCATATCATCGAAAGCACTAAACTGTCTCAAAAGGCGGAAATAGAATTGTATGATGAGTTTGATTATTTGAACAAAGAAAATGTTAGATGTCAGCACTAGCAACGATTAAATTCAACAGGTCACTTCCCCTATCTAGTTTGGAGACGAAATAGGGTGTAGATTA